GTTTGGAATCATTTCAAAGCTACATGACAGAAGATAATTTTATTGCAATAACATTATAGCAAATTGCCACTTGTATACATTTTAAAATAGCACCATATACCTTTCAAGGCTTAACAAGTATCTCAATAAATGTACAGAAGTTGAATTGGAAAGATACTTATTAGTTGAGCTGGATAAGTAACTTATGGTAGAGAAAAATGGAGTGGAAAACAAGTAGGCAAAAAATATAAATAACAAAATGAAATTTAAGTGCCCCCCCTTCACAAAGTGATAATGACAGTCTTCCATGGAGTGAATAGTATTGTTAACTTAAATTTTTGTACCAAAGTTAACAAGAACAGTGAAAATAATATCTACTCAATCTCCCACGCCCCCATAAAAATATAATCTACAATCATCTTAAGGAAAGGGATTCTCATCTCTCTGATAGTGACAAACATATGCCAGACTAACTGTGGAAAACAGTTCTGTCTTTCAGCCTTGATTCTAATTGGCCTCAGAGATTCTGACCTGCTTATGAGGATCTCTGGGATCCAACAAGCTGAAACATTGACTATTGTGGCATAGAATATGCCCCACCCATTACTGAATCTATATGCTCTTTTATTCCGCCTCCTCATGACTTTATTTCTGCAGGAAAACAAAAGTATTTATTTCACAATCCAGCCAGCATGAGAAATCAGTGAGTCAGAATGCTAACTTCGCAGTAAGATTTTGTGTATGTCTGTTCTTTTTAAAATTTGGATTGTATACTTTCTATTTCCTAGGCAAATCTGAACATTTCACTCAGTTTTCCATAACTAAGTGTTGAAAACTAAGTTTCTTTCTTACAAAACTTCATGCCTTATCTTGTATCTCCTACAAAATGGAGAAAGTTGACATTAAAATTTTTATTACATTTTGTGGATTTCCCAGAGATATTTTTCTCCCAGTCCTTTAGGTGGGGACTTCATCATTTCAGTTCCCCAACACACCTATTACCCTCCTCAACTTCTACACAGTTTCCTTGGGAATTCCTCCCTCTTCCCACCAATCAAGGAGCTGGGTGTCTCTAAAGAGCTGAGTAACTGTAGAAATCTTTCTGCTTCTGGTTGCTAGAACCAGCACTGCCTGAGGGGGATTGATTTCCAGAGGTGGAAGGAAGACAGATATTAGGTTTAGACCCCGAGCTATTTTTAGGTTTCAGTTTCTTCCTGACTTCGTCCTCTACCACACAGATTCAAAGTTTCATCTTTCCTTGAACCTATATCCGAAAATGAAAGGGCCACCTCTACAAGAAGACCTTGTTTTTCCATTTAGAATTAATGCAGCGAGTGGTTTGAAAGTACAGATAGGGAGAGGGCCCTCAGGATGAGGCTGCTGAGTGAGTGTCAGATGTTCCCAGACTGGCATATGGGTTGGTGGAAGTTTTGGAAATAAAAAAGACAAAGTTTCTATATCTCGAGCTGTGCCCTTAATTCTTCACAGACAAAGTTAAATCTAAGACTTCATCTTTGTATCAGGCCAAACAAATATGACCCAAAGAGCAAAAGAAAAATTTTGTTCTAAACATTCCCCAGGACTTCAATTCCATTAGGTATCAGTTGGTCTAATTCATGTAAGAAAGTTGTTTGGTTTCTCAGTTTTTTGACCCATTCTATGGCCAGCCCAAGCCTCCCCAGGTATCATCTTTGGACCCTTTTTTCCAGGAAGCATGCTGTCTCTTATCCTAACCCCTAGACCTTTTCATCTACCTGTGGCATCAATGTCAAGAAGCAGACAGAAGGTTCCTCGGTCCTGAAACATAAATACCCATCTTTGTACAATACTGCATTGCATTTCTTTATCTCTACTATTAGGAATTTCTAAGATTTATCCTTTTTATTGTTTCAGGTTCTAAATGAAACAAAATGCTTTACCACACCAATGCCATGTATCATATACCATACATCTGCCTCCATACCCTTGTACTTCTTTATACAAGACTCACAGTTTCTCAATACTTAGTAAAAATCAAAATGCAGTGCCTTAATTCTTGTAGTGCTCTTTATATGTCATGGGTCGCCTTTAGTTCTTTGTTCTCACATATAGGGCAGTTACTATGAAGTTTCTCATGTATCTTGCTTTCTAATTAATTTGAAGAGTAAAAATTAGATATAATTTGCTGCTATGATTTTCTAAGAACAAGGGGAACATTTCATTTGGTTTTAGCGTTAAGGGCATTGCAATAGATTTCTTCTCAAGATCCCTCTGACCTTTGTTGCCCTTAACAATTTCCTGTAGAAGACAGCTGTGACATTGTCTTTGCAAAAGTGCAAAGGTTGGGAAAAGGGAAGGTGATAACTGCTGCGTCCAGCGCTCGCCAGCCAAGGATCCACCGACTTTCTAGGCTGTCTCCCCACTTTTCTTCTAACCCTCACTCCACCTCACCCTAGGTGCACCGGCCAGACAGGGCAGGCAGCCCCTGGGTGACAGCTGAGTCAGCTGGGGGGAGTGCTTGCGCGTCCTCCCACCTTCCTGACACCGAGTTAAGTCTCCTGCCTAGGGAGGTGACAGCCGCCACACCTCTCTGCGCCGCCGGCCGCAGGACCATGTTCTCCAGCCCGCGGAGGCGGGGCGTCCGCGGCTCCGACGAGCGGGTCCCCCGGGGGCTCAATGCGCAGGTAAAGGTTCTCGGTCTTAGGAGGACAGGAGGGACAATCTTGGGGCCACTCGGCGGGGGCGTGGAAGCGGGGAGAGCTGACTCCTCGGACCCTGAGCGCGGACTGATGACTTAGAGCCGAGGCAGCCACACAGGTCCACGCTCGGTCCCCAGGTGGTGGGAAACCTGAGCCAGCGTGATCTCAGTCTAGGAGGGGCTGGAGGAGAGAGGGAAGCATCTTTGTTTAAAGAGATAGGTAACTCCCCCCCGGAAACAGAATGGATCTGTCATCGCTGAAGGCTGGGGTTGGATTCTACAACCGGTGGGTGAGCCCTTTAAAACCGCAGGAGCGATTTGGCCTAAGCGCTACTCACTGTGTTGTTAAATGCCACGGGTTTTGGGACCCTGAGATCTGGGCAAATCCAGAAACGGCAAATGCTTACCTGTGCTTTTCTCTGCGCGGTGATAACTCGCTTCTTCCTCAATAGGAGTCATGTAAAAGGCAGCAGTTGGAGGGAGGAGACCTTCAATTGTATATTAGGAGCGATTTCTCTAGCAAAAGTTCTATGTGTTTCACTGATCACTGTACAAGACCTGGGTTTCACATAACAATAATCCTTAACACAAGTAGTTCTGTAGTCCTAACAAGGGATGGGGGGGAGAAGGACTTCAGACTCAGGGGCACTTGTTCTAATTCTGTTTTTTGTTTGTTTGTTTTAGTAACTCCAAATACCAAATAATATGATAGCTATTCTCTAATCACATACAAAATCAAGCTACAAGTTTCTTTAAAAGTAAAATAAATTATAGGTAAACAACTCCTTTTTAAAGTCTATAAAATTAAGGGGCTGAGTAAGTCCCTTGAAAATGTGAAAAATCTTCATCAGAACAATATGCCTGTTTTACCCTACTGTAGAGATACAGGTTCAGTCAGACAAATTGGCTTGATATCACTAGTGTAACAGCAAAGGTGACCAAAGGGAGTAAATGACAAATTTGTAGGGTGAAGTATTATCACACTCAAATGTCATTCATAATTCTGGTTGGCCCTTCCTCTAGTATTCAAACAATGTCTATTTCCTTGGCTATTACTTAATTTTGATAGCCATCATATATCAGGAATCCACCTAGAAACAGTTGAAAATGTTTATTTTAATTGCATTATCTATTTGCTACATCTGTGATGACAAAACTTAAAAAAAAAGTGTGGCTTCAAAGTATCAAAAAGCGTATATAGTTATATTTCATGGTTAGGAGTTTAAATTTTTAGTATAATAGACCTCAGGTAAAAATCTCTATCTAACCTATAAGCTAAGAATATGCCTTTCTGATTGTCTAGGGCTGACATGGTGACCAATGAAAACATGCTTCTAAATAGTTTGTTGGTTGCAACTAGCATCAATCTGTTCATTTATTCATCCAAAACATGTTTACTATTAGTTAAGCTGGACTGAAACTGGAGATACCATGATAAGTCGGTTTCCATCCTCCAGAGGAACTAAGTCTTACAGGAGATAAGCACCTGTGAAGAAATTAAGAGATAATTGGGTAAATGAGATTAAATTCAGTAAGTACAGATCTGAAGAAGCCCTTAAGTACCCCAAGGAGTATGTTGAGATTGCAATGTAATACAGAAGAACCTGGAGACTGGAGTGGGAGAAAAAAAGCAGTAAATCTTGAATAGGATTGAAGTATGAATGCTAAGAGATGCAAAATAGAAAGAAGTGGGCAGGAGAAAGTCTTTCTAAGTAGTGGAAAACGGTTGAATGGCTAGGGAGCTGAGAGTGTGGAATTATGGCTGAAAGATAGATTTAACTAACTGGATTAGATCCAGTTTCCTATACTTCCTAGTTGGAAAATCATAGGCAAGTTTCTTAAGCTCTGAGCCTTAGTTTCCATATCTGTAAAATGGGGATGACAGAAATGGTCACACCATAAACGTAAGTTATGTTTAGTGAGATAATATACTTTGAACAGAATAAATTTTTTCTAGACTTTTTCCTTCTCCATGTGCATGTGCTTTCACTTTCCCATAACTTCCTCCACTATTCTAAGAGCCCTCCTATAATATCCACAAATGAAGTTTCTGATAATGGGGTTATGAGATATTATTACACATAGCAATTAGTCACACAGATCGTATCACCATGAGGCCACATCTCAAGTTTGAACTCAAGGAAGTCTGAAAGTGACACACTTCACCAAATCCTGAACCCCAGCTATGCTATGGTCTGGTGAGCTAAATTCTTGTTACTCTGCCATATTCGAGAAATAATAGGACCTCCACTCTGAGACTGAACATTTCTCCTAAGTCAGCAATATTAGGATATGTTTATGCAATGCCTACTATAAGCCCAGTGGTAGATAAGGACAATTGATAATGGAGAAACAGGGAAATGAGAAACTCATCTGGGGTCAATTAAGTCTGCAGACTAGAGGTGCTGTCAGAGTAAGAATAGATGAATTAGAAAACTGATAAATATTTAATAGAGAAAATGAGAATAAAATAGAACTTTGAAAGATATTCTTAGAAATGAATATTTCTATTTTTCTATATATAAATTGCTATATAACAATATATAAATAATAAACTCAGTGAGATCCATAATATGAATTCAGTAATCATATTTATTGAGAAGTCACTTGCACATTCTTGGTACTTGGTAAGGATTAATTACCTTCAACAGTTTTTTTTTTTTTTTTCTTAAATCTGGCTGTTTTTCCTTCTGGGAGGTAAATATGCTTGGACTTTACTGTGATAAACTCAGTATAAGATATCTGGTCCACATCTAAGGAGGCTATTCGCCAGGGCATGCAAAAAGCCTCATATAAGTTGCTTTCACATGGAAAATGATCCTAAAGTGAATATTAAATCAAATACAGGTTATTAGTCTACTAAAGTAGCCATCTGTAGTAGCTTTGCAGGACTTAGGTGCTTAAAATAACAACCATTTTATTTAGTTAATGATTCTCTGGATCAATTGGATTGTGCACTGGTTTGTGGCTGATATTGGCTAAGCTCTCTTTTGCATCTACAATCAGCTTGCAGGTGGGCCGGTAGCTGGATAACCTAGAGCCACCTTATTCATATGTCTGGCAGCTTTCAAGCTGTTGATCAGAGTGGCAGACTATTAGATAAATGCCTCAGTTCTCTTCCACATGGTCTCCATCCTCCAGCAGGCTAGCTCAGTTGTACTCAGGGTTCCAAGCACAGCAAGACCAGAATCATTAAGGCTTTTGAGACTTAGAATTTGAGCTATTTCAATGTTACTGCTGTTGCATTTCCATGATTAAAACACAACACAATGCCAACCCAAATTCAAGGGGTAAAAAGTATATTCTCTGTCTTGATGGGGAAAACTGCAAAGAATGTATAGTCCTTCGCAGCCTGCTATGGAAAATATGTATTTTGGATATGCATAAGATCCTTTCATTGTTGACAAATTATCCAACTGGCAATACTCTGAGATTTAAGTGTATGTCATCAAATCTTTCTTTCAGTTTATCTAGAGAATTTTAAGCACATCTTCCCCAATTATTTGTTTACTTCTTTTCCAGATAGTATGCTTGTTTGCTCCCAACAACAATGATTTCAGTATTATTGTTCACATATTTGAATAACTGTTTTGGATTGAAGATGTGACCAATGTTTCTATTTGTCATTATATTTAGTTCTCTCAACAATCCTATGAGGGTAGATATCATTTTGATAAACTATATGCGTAGTGTAAATGGCTTATATCATTTGCTGTAACAAGAAAACAGATTTGAAACTGAATGTCATATATTCTTTTCAGAACATTTTGCTGTATAGGATGAAGTTCTGTTTTACTCATTTTGTCTAGGTTCAGAATTTTTAAAATGTGGTAAAACACTTTTAAAATGTGAGGATGGAACAAAAACTGGGTTAGGAAATATCAGTGCAAAAGTTGTTAAATATGGGACAATTTCTAAAATCAAATTTAACTCTGTGGTCAGTCTTACTTTTGCAAATACAGAGAATGATGATGATTCTAAAAATGTTAAATGACTATTTTTTGAAGACTTCTCTTTTTAAATTTCTCTTCTCTTGGTTGAACCCACAAAGTCAATGGGAATAATTTTATGGAAATGTTATAACACCCCTCAAAATAAAATATAATTGTGATAAATATATAATTTTGCAGATAATCAAAAAATAAGTAAACACCCAGAGGTACATCAAATACCTATTATTTTCTTATTTTTCAGAAAAAAGATAAAACTATCTTCAATTTAGCAATTGAAATGTTTAATTTTAAGCTCATACATATAGAAGTTTGCATGAGTAAATGTATAAAGCTAAATGGCATATGTACATACAAGGGGACCCAAAAGAACCCGGAATTATCTTTTGGAGAGCAGATACCTTGTAGCCCAGGCTTCCCCCACTAGGTCAGTGTTCTAGGAACCCATTGGCATTAGTGTATCAGCTAATATTGTTTTGAGAGGCTGCTTTCGCCTTCGGTGAATTTTTTTAAGGCAAACAGGTGATTTCCACCATGACAATGCACCTGCCAATACCATTTTGATGTTCTGCAATTTTTGACCCAATCAGTATGACCCTCATGTCCCACACTCCTTCTTCACCCGATCTTGACCTGAGCAATTTTTTTTGTTTCCCTGAATGAAAAAAATCCTCAAAGGGAAATGTTTTGCCCACATGGAAAAGGTGACACAAAAAGTGGCAAAACACTAAAAGTCACCAAAATCAGTGAGTTCAAAAATTGTTCTGAACAGTGGAAAAAAACATCTTGATAGGTGTTTTGCATCAAACAAATAGTACTTTGTAGGTGACCAAAGCTTAAGCATGTAAGAATAAATATCCGTTTTTTAATACATTTTTAAATAAGTAAATTCTGAGTTTTTGGGTCCCCCATACACACATACATGTACACACACATGCACACACACACACATGCACACATATACATACATGCATATATATGCTTACATATAGTTGTATTAATTGTAAGTGGCCATTATGTGCTGTTAAATTCAAGAAACTGTTCCTCTGTATGAGAGGAAAAGATTTTTGAAATTACTTTTCTTTCTAACATTTATTATTATTGCTATGTACACAGGCATAATGTTGAGAAAAATCTTAAAATTTCTGTAGTCCATCCACCATCCAAGATTATCTTCACTAAATCATATTTTCCTTTTTTTCCTACTTTTATTGAGATTCGGGGGTACACATGCATATTTGTTTCATAGACATATTGTGTACTGATGGGGGTTGGATATCAGGTGTACCATTGCCCAGATAGTGAACATTTTACCCCAATAGCGTTCAGAAATTCCCAATAGGCAATTTCTGAACACTGACCTTCCTCCTCACCTCCTCCCTTATTGGTGTCCTCAGTGTCTATTATTTCCATCTTTGCGGCCATTTAGAATGAAGTTGTTATTTTGATAGGGATTGCATTGAATTTGTAGACTGCCTTGGGCCGAATGATCATTTTAACAATGCTGATTCTTTCAATCCATGAACATGGGATGTTCTTCCATTTGTGTCATCCACATTTTTTTTTTATCAGTGTTTTGTTGTTCTCCTTGTGGAGATCTTTCACCTCCTTAGTTATGAGTATTTATGACATCAACATCTGTAACTGTTAGCAGAAAATGTTATTTCATGTTTACTTTTCTACCTATTAATAAAAATATTTCAAAAGTAAATTAAAGGCATTTACTTTATATTCATATATACTACTTGCTATATATTTTTTATTTTTAGAGATGCAATCCAGAGAACAGTGCTTCATTCTTCAGTAAGGTGACATATTCCTGGTTTAACAGGTAAGAATTTTTACTAACTTATTTGTAGCAGACAATACTAGGAAAGATTCCAAGGGAAATGGCACATGAATGTTGTTCCTTTAATCTAAGTATTAGTGTTTTTACAAGGTGACATTGTAAAGATTTTTTTTCTCATATTACTTATTACACAGAAATCACAAGCAATAACATACTAAGTATTTCCACAAATAACATGTCTGTACCTTTATACAGTTTGCATCTCATTAGAACTAGGGAGGGACAGAAAAATTAACCTTTTTTAGCATCAAGTATATACTATCCACTTTATGCCTATTATTTCTTTGACTTCTTTCTTAAAGACTGTGAGATTGGTATTTCCAGTTAAGAAAATTGAGATTAAGGGAGAGGAAGTACTTGTCTATTGATACCCATGTAGGAATAAGTATGTGTTTTATAGCAGTGTCTGTTGAGTTTATGTTTCATGCTTTATTTTTGCTATGTCATTTTACTCTTTACTAGGAGTACTGTCACGCATACCTCTGTGTGCTACCATTAAAATACACAAACTAATAATTTTTATAAGACATATTATTATTATAAGACATAGATTATGATTCTTTTCATGGAATAATTCAGCCATAATGTATGGTGAGAGCTCATTTCTTAAGGAGAGACCAGAGTGAACTCTGATTTTAATGTAGAAATTATTTATATTTAATCAGAGTTCGTTTTTTTCTTTTTTGTATGTAAATTTAGAAGCTTTCCTTAGAAATGTATTTCTTTATGCCTATAATAGAAATGTTATGATAATATGAAATTAAATTTGTCTTTCTAGATTTATGCTCTTTGCTCCATAGTTGGTAGAGACAAAATTACCTAATTTAATCTACAGATATATTCTCAAGAATAAATGAATCTTTAAATTAAAAAGAAAAATTCGGTACTAGATGCCCCAAACTCTGCTCATCTTTAAAAATACAAAGATAGAAGGCAACCCCTTCAGGTCTCCTCCCACTGTGGGAGCTTTTCTGTCCTCTCAATAAATCATGCTTTTAAAAAATAAAATAAAATAAAACCAAAAACCAAACAAACCAAAAAACCAGATATAAAGACTTAGTTTCTGCTTTCCAGGAATTCACTGTGGAATAAGAAAGATTAAAAAAGTAGACCACCAACTACCAAAAAAGACAAAGGGAACATAAGTATAATTGACACAAATTTTCAGAAGTGTCATCTAGCCAAATTTGTGCAATTAGGGAACATTTTACAGATACAAATACTTTCATCCAATATTTTAAAATGTATTAAGAGACTCGCAACCTGTTACCCCAGCACTTTTGGAAGTTAAGGCAACAGGATTCCTTGAGTTTAGGAGTTCAAAACCAGCCTGGGTAACATAAGAAGACCTCATCCCTTGTCTCTAAAAAAATAAAATAAATTAGCCAGGAGTGGCAGTGTGCCTGTAGTCCCAGCTACTCAGGAGACTGAGGTAGAAGGATTGCCTAAGGCAGAAGGCCATGGCTGTGGCGAGTCGTGATCATGCCACTGCGCTTCAGCCTGAGCAACAGAATGAGACTCCATTTCAAATAAATAAATAAATAATTAAATACGTAAAAATGTGTGAGAGTAAGTCACATGGTACTCCAAGTTGAACAAATGCCATTTGAAAACAACATTGGTGAGAGAGAACTAACTGGAGTGGCAGTCTAAGATGAAGGGAGAACTCATGAAAAAGACTTCTCTGCACCAACTCAAAGACAATTAGAAGTCACTGGAGAATTTGTAGAGAAGTAACATAATCAAATTTGCATTTCAGAAAATCATCTCTGCAATTGTGTGACTATGGTACATAGGAGATGGAAATGGAGCCAGAGAAAGTTGTTAGGAGGCTCTGAAGGTGTCCTGGGAGATTTATGGTCACAGTCTGAACTACGTTAATGACAAAGATGATGAAAAACTACATAGTTAGAAAAGTTATGTAGGAGAGAATTGATTAAATGGGGAATTGAGAAACGAGAAAAGTGCGGCATAAATGTTGGTTTCTAGCTCAGATAACAGTGAGATTCAAGTGTAGTAAAAAAAATTGTGGGTTTACTTTGGGAAAGTTTTAATTTGAGATACCTGTGAAGCATCAAATGAACAGGCATTTGGATATGTGGTTCCCAGGCTTAGAATAAATCTTTGACCTATGGATATGAATTTGAGAGTAGGTCAGTAGGTGAAGCCATGAGTATGAATGAGATCACCCAGAAAAACTCATTGAGTAGGCTGAACAAATGGAACACTGGACATTCTTAGTATTTAATTGGCAGGAGTATGAGTCTACAAAGGAAGCTAAGTAAATATGTTCAGAATGTAAGAGAAGTATCTAAAGAATGTGATTGACAACTAAGAAGAGAAACACTGCTAAAAAAGGAGAAGAATAAAGTGGTCAATAGGGCCAATACAGAAAAAGGGTAAATAAAAATAATAACCAAATATTCACCATTAAATTTGGTAACATGAAGACTATTGGTGGATTTTTTGAAAGAAATGTAAGACTGACAGTAATGGAAATCTGCCTGGGGAAGGGGGACACACCTCATCACTAAGGGTACCTGCACAATAAATATTTGTATACCTAACCCTGAATTGTACCCCACAATTTTAAAATTAAAATTTTTTTTTTTTTTGAGTTGGAGTCTCACTCTGTCACCCAGACTGAAGTGCAGTGGCTACTCCCGGCCACCGCAGCCTCGACCTGCTGGGCTCTGGCAATCCTTCTGCCTTAGCCTTCCAAGTAACTGGAACTACAGGCACGCGCTACCATGCCCAGCTAATTTTTGATTTATTGTAGAGACGAGGGCTCGTCAAGTTGCCCAGGCGGGTCTCGAATCCGCGGGCTTGGGCAATCTACTCACCTCAGCCTCCCAAAGTGCTGGGATTACACACACCTCATCACTAAGGGTAACTGCACAATAAATATTTGTATACCTAACCCTGAATTGTACCCCACAATTTTAAAATTAAAAAATTTTAAAAGTTAAAAAAAGAAAGAAATTTAAGTAGAAAATGTATATACTTGTGAAAAAATAATTGAGCAGAAGAGGTTGAATTATGATAAGATTTCCAAGTTACATAAACTTAGAGATCACTTAAAGAGGATGGCAAAAATTTACACCACTATGTAACATTAAACCACATATTAGCAAAAAGAAAAGATGGATAGACATGTAACTATGGGCTATTTACAGTTAATGATTTTGATTTTTCAAATTTGTGTATGTATAAAAATGTTTTCCAAATCTGAATTTTGTTTTATCTATGAGTTGAAAGAAAGAGTGATATCTACTTTGGTTTTGTACCATTTCAGTGTCATATTAGAGTCACAGGGATCATGGAATTTAAATAATGCAAATAAAATTAATTTTAAATAAAAGTAATTTTCAAGTTTTGATTAGCAAATTATAAAAAAGTGCATATGTATTAAATATTGCAAATGTCATTTTAGGAGTTCTAAAGTAAGAAGCTGAAACTAAATTTAATAAGCAAGATAAAGGCATAGCAAATTGTAAAATATGACAACTTAGTGTTTTTAAATCCATAACTTAAGTCAATCAAACACACCATCAATCCCTAAATGCTGAATATCACATTAATTTTCTGTTTAAATTTAATGTCTCAGAACTATTTTTATATCTCAGGGATATGTTCATATCTCATAGATATTGCATATTTATGAACATATTTTCATAGAATGTTGTTATCTGGTACTGTCACTGGCATAAATCCAATTTGATTTCTTATGTGGTGAATAAACAATTGTAGTTGAAACATAACTATTGTTTAAGAGAATGTCCCTTTGAAGACGATGACTAATTGTATTCTCGGATCTATTTCTGGAATTACAGAATAGACTCAGAAATTATTTCCTAGGCCAGATTCAAACACCCATAGTTATATGAATAATTTAATTAAAATGTTCTCAGATGACACAATAATTAGGAAATTATATGTTTATGAGACTTAAATCCTAAGGCAGGAGCTATCTAGATAATTCTGATAATCAAATAATTACCAAGCCTTTATTAGCAAATACAATATTAATATGCTATGTTACTAATATACATGGAAAAATCCAGTTAAAGTTTTTATAGGCCACAGTTGAGCTATTATTTTAACCAGGAATATACTTTATTAAAGACGTCAAAATTTCTCACACATTAATAAAATTTGTACATTAACTGTCTTCTTCCTATCCTGTAAGTTTTAGACAGATTGATTTCATTCCTTTTCCCATAACATAATCATAGCTTTCCAGAAATGTTTTAAAGGGCAATTAATAGTAATAAAACTGATAATGCTACTATATATTTGTACTTTCCAAGTATTCAAATAGTACTCATCTACAAAAGTTACTTTCCCTCATCTTTCTAGTTGAATGCACTGTTTTTCTACTCTCTTTGCATCTTTTGAATTACACATTTATGCACACTTGTTAATTCTAAATATAATCAAATTTCTCTCCAAGATTATAAAATTTAAAAAGAGTAGAAATGCTACATTTGAAGGCTCTGCCTTCTGTTAAATCAGCACTGGTTTATGTCACATATACAAAACTGTGACAAGTCTCTGGAGTTCCAGGTGTTTTACTACTTGCAAAAATAAGAAATTAAGACTGCTCTGCCTGCTTTTGAGAGTTGGGATCAAATTAATTGAAGTGAAGTGAATGTCCTTTAAAAAGAAATATCATTCTAAAAAATATAAGAAGCATAAATAAGTCTTATTATTGCTTTAAGAATAAAGTCCACAAGTTTATGGGACTAGATGCATGCTACACATTTCACTTACTAGGAGGATCAACTATTGGTCCTAGTTGTTTCCCAAAAAGGTGTCTCAGCATTTGATTGGAAGAAATACCTTCTCCTTCCTTCTTCTTCTCCCAAGCTCTTATACAGATAGGTAAGACTGGCCCATGTGACCAGAATCTACCAGAAGAGCGTGAAAGGTATGGATGGAGCACATACCTAGAAAAAAAAGTCAAGGTAGTTAAACAATGAAGCCATGAGAATCACAGTCAACTCAGCTTGTCACTCTTGGATGCTGTATTATTTGGAGACTTAGCATGAAAATCAGGGGTCACTTATCCCTGAACCTAAACAGCTGAGTTTTGCACAGTTTGAGCTCAAAAGGCAGTAAATGTTATTAAAAATGCTTTTGTGAAAAAAATCAATGCGATCTTATTTTGAAAATGAATTTTTATTTTATGGAATAAAATAGAAGAACTTAACATGACAAGAAATTAGTTTAATGTTTAATATGTTTTTAATAGTGCACTGCAGGAAAATGTCCAACATATTTAAGTGAACAGAAATATGATTATTGAAGGTCCTTGCTTATTACATTTCAGTTCTTTTGCTCAATATGTTGGTAGTATATTATGTATCGTAATAAAAGTGAAATTGAATCCAGTGGAGACTCTGGTTATCATAGGATTTGAATTCATCTCGGGGTCAAACAACTAAGCTTATTCAGGGACAAGGACAATGAACAGTCCCAATTTGGAGTAATGTAATGCTTTGTTAGAGTCTCTGGGGCTGATACACTTTATAATGGAGAGAACTGAGACTACACAGTCAGAAGGTCTGGATTTAAATATGGGTTTGATTTCTTACTGAACAAGTTATGTCACCCAAATCACACAATATATCTGAACTATATCTCTTAGGAGTGTATTTGGCTTTGGGTAACAGAATAGTCAGATAATAATGGTTTAAACAAATGGGTATTTATTTTCCTATGTTATTGAGAAGAGGACTGGGAATGGGATGGTGAACTACCTCAGAGATGTTATAAAGGGCCCAGTCTTTTCTTTCTGTTTCCCATCCTCATTATTTGACTTTTCACTTGTGGGAGTAAAGACGGCTTTTCTGTCTGAGAACATTTGTTTTCAATACACGCAGGAAGAAAGTTCTTCCGAGAAGACTCATTTGGGTATTATTAGCCATAACTGAGTTATATTATTAACCCCAAGCAAAGGGTAATGAGATTACTAGGATAAGTTTAGACTAATCATAATTCATAACTCTGTGACTGGGATAAGGGCTTACCTTGAGTTCAAGAGATTTTCAACTGAATAAATATCAGATTCTCTTTAGCAGAAAGATGGTAGGACAGACAGATAGCTGTGGGTAAGTATACTTCATTGGCACACACAATAACTTTTGTGTTATTGCTGGACCATGCATCTTGTCTGCCTCCCAGTTTCAACCCATCATTTTCATACAATTATTTACAGTACCACCTGGGTACCCTAAGTGAATGGAGGAGGGTAGAAATACTAAGAAGCTGGTAGAAATTTGCCATGCTTCTTAAGGCATCAGTTCAGAAATGACACTCTCACCTTGGTTCATACTCTATTGGTCAGAGTAAGTCACATGGCCAAGGACAAAGCTTTTCATATAAGAAAAGGCACGCTACATCTAGTTGGACCATCTACAAAGTCAAGTGGCAAAATGTATATAAAGTCTTAGTGAAACAGAAAAAAGTTGCAAATGTAGAGATTAGATCCATTTCTCCTTTGATGCAAGCCTAAAAGCAAATGTGCATACTTAGATGGTTGGGTGAACACCATACTGTGAAATTTTGCTCTTTGAATTTCAGTAAGTGAGGTGAGGTAGGTAAGTGGTACATTCTCCAAATATGAGAGGAGTGAATGAAATTAGGGCTTCAATGAATAATTGTATGTTTAAACAGCCTTTATAAAAACTACAAATGACTATTGCATATTCTTAAAGTTGTATGATTTTTCAAATACACAATCTAGTCATTGTATCCTGATCAATAAAATAATGTATAAATCAATAAATGAAATAAATGCATGCAATTATTATTTTTAACTTGATTGTTTGTTTTGATGTGTTATTTACTTTTTCACTTTTAGAATAATAAATTTAGGCTATGAAAGACCTTTAGAAAGAGAAGATCTTTTTGAACCAAATGAAAGCGATTCTTACTACACTGTGTGTCCCATTTTTGAAAAACAATGGAGGAAGGAAGTTTTAAGGAATCAAGAGAGGCAGAAAGCAAAGGTAATTAATTATTAAATTCTATTAAGCCAGGCTCGGTGGCTCAGCCTGTAATACCGCGCCTTTGGGAGGCTGAGGTGAGTGGATTACCTGAGCTGGCGGGTTTGAGACCCGCCTGGGCAGCGAGACCTCATCTCTACAATAAATCAAAAAATCAGCCAGGCGTGGTAGTGGATGCCTGTAATTCTGGCTACTCGGAAGGCTGAGGCGGAAGGATCACCGGAGCCCAGCAGGTCAAGGCTGTGGTGGCCGGGAGCGGCCACTGCACTCCAGTCTGGGTGACAGAGTGAGACTCCAACTCAAAAAAAAAAAGAAAAAAAGAAAAAGGAAAAAACAATTATATTAAATCCTGAAGTAGTTAATTGCTGTCCAAAACTAGATAAAGCTTTTCCCAAATATGGCATATTATTATTAATATATCTAAATAATTTTAAGAATATTACGTTATTCCTAAAATATGTGATATGACAAGCTATTTCATAAACACAATTGGTTGTTATTGTAGCTGATTTCTGTTTTCAAACTAGTTGGTATTCCTTCTCTTTAATGCTCAGAAACAAATGTGTTGATATCGGTGACTTCTTACCAATGGTGACAAAAATAGTTTCTGTATCTCAGAACATCATGTCTGTTAGTCAAAGTAAATTATATGGTGATCAAGACCAAAGTTTGTGGGAGTAAGGACAGCCACTCTATATTTTGCATCACATATATGTCCATATATGTCCTTTTTTAAGACTTCTCCAAAATAAAATAAAATTTGGAATTAAAAGCTATAATTATATTAACAAAGCAGTTTCAAAACTCACAAAAGTAATCAAATGCAACTATTGCTCTTTCTTTTTTATACCATGTGGTATAAGTAACTCTAAACTAGTCTGGATACAAACCATCCCAATGATATGGGTCATAGTTTCAAGTTCAACTGAACTTATTTCTTTCTTGTTGCTTTATTGTCATTGGAAGACATTGTTAACTTTATGGTTGGTTTATATATATTACACTTGCATTAGTATTAATTGTGATCAATTTTCTCATTGTTTCTATTTCCTTTAATTATGCAGATATCTCTTCATAAAGAAGCACATACCAGGAAGCCATCTCTACTCTATGCATTGTGGAATACCTTTAAATCTGCCCTGATTCAAGTTGCTTTATTTAAAGTGTTTGCTGATCTTTTGTCTTTCACTAGCCCACTTATAATGAAGTAAGTTAAAGTTTTGTGGGGGTTTTTTCTTCCTCACAGGTAAACAAGCACATTTTCCACTATGAAAGTTCTACTTAAAAAGAGGAGGGAAGATTCGTATTGAGAATTTTATTTAGGATATGAGCATTTTATTTGGATTGTATGCAACACTAATGCAAATTATGATAATATAGTCAATATTTAATGACAACAACCATGTACTAAGCACTTTTCAAAAATTTTATATTAATTGTATTGTCACGTTTCTCCAGAGAAACAGAACCAATAGAATATAGATAGATGATAGATAGACTGATGATAATGATAGATGATAGATAGATGGATAGATTGATATAAATAGATAGAGACATTTATTATGGGAATTGACTCATGCAATTATAGAGGATGAGAAAAGGTTGAGAAACCCCATAATCTGCCTTCTGCAAACTGGAGACCCAGGAAGGCCAGTGGTGTAATTCAGTTTGAGTCTGAAGACCCAAGAACCTTGAACTCTGGTGTCCAAGGGTAGAAAGTGAATGATCCAGCTCCAGTAAAGAAAGTCAATTCATCCTTTCTTCTCCTTTTTGTTCTGTGCTGACCCTCAAGAGATTGTCTGAGGCACCATGCCCTGGGACCTTCTCTACTCATTCAACTAATTAAAATGCTAATCTCTTATAGAAACACACTCACAGACACACCCAGAAATGCTGTTTTTCCAGCTATGTGGATATCTCTTCACCCAGTCAAGTTGACACATAAAATTAACCATCATATTAGTAATCTTATTTAATCTTTAGAACCTTCCTATGAAGTAGAAAATGCTATTATACCCATTATTGCAATGCAGAGAGACAGAAAGTAATTTGTCCAAGTCCACACAGGTAGAAGGTGCCAGAGTCATAACTGAAATCTAGGAAGTCTTGCTTGAATATATATTTAGAAAAGAAAATGATATTACTATATTATTTAGCTGTGGTCTTTTGAGAATTGAACTTTAACAACCAAGGATACACATAAAGTTCCTATATATGACATATATAAAAATATATTATTACTACTTTATATATTATATCTATTTATATATATTCTTAATGTGTATATATTTATTTTACATGTATATTACATATATTTACAAATGAAATGTAAATTATATTATATGTATATTACATATACATGTATATACAAATGAAATGACTTGAAGCATTTCTATAACATCTAATGCAATTGTTTATAGACAGACAAGGAAATTGAGCATTTGACTGTGTGCTGCCTTCTTTAAGGAGACATTGCCTTACCTCTATCTGTCATATAAAGGAAACACAAATAAACATATTTTTTATCCTGTGATTATATCCTTAGAATTGAAAATATTTCCAAGTTGTTAGAGTTTGTGATAACCATTTAATTCATGAAAATATAGTTAATACTGAACCCCAGATAATATTCAGGTATATATTTATTTAGTATTCATTGAGCATCTACTTCACACCAAAGATGGACTTTGGGGAGGAAACCATCAAAACCAAGTCCCTGCTCTGATGATGCTTACAGAAGAAAGATAAGCAATAAACATAAATGATATTGAGATATAATCAGTGATTTAAAAAAAGTAAAGTAAGGTAAGGGATTGTCAATCTGGGGAATTGTCATTGCTGTTTTATGTAAGGTTATTATGAAAGTCATTGGTGATAAGGTGACATTTGATCAAAGTCCTAAAGGAAGATAGGAAGGAAACCAAAACAATAACTTGCAGTTAAAGGAAATAGCAAAGCAAAAATCATGAGGAGGTGCATGCTTGGTGTCTTTGAGGGCCTACAAGGAAGAAAGTGAAGTTGGAGCAGAGACACTGAGAGACAAGGTGATAAGATTGAGGGCAGAAAGGCTCAAGGATAAAAAGTTCTTGAAGTGCCTTATGGGATACGATGGAAATATTAGCTTTTACTCCATGTTAGAAGGGAAGTATTTGGAAAATTTTGAGCAGAGAATTATCTGATTAGACTTCAGTTTTATAGGGATCATTCTGGTGGGTGTGTGGAAAATAAAGTCAAGAAGAGCAAGAGTGGAAAAAGGAACACTAGTAAGATGTTTATTGAGATAATGCAGGCAGGAGTCCATGGTGACTTCCATGTGGTCTTAGTAGGAAGGTGATAAGAAGTGATCAGATTCTGGCTCCATTTTAAAGGTGGAGTCAATAGAATATACTGATAGGTTGAATGTAGGTTGAAAGAAGAAACAAGGAGTCAAGGATGTCTTGAAAGTATTTTGCTTAAACCACAAGGTAAAAAATCACTATATACTAAGACAGAAACCTCAAGAAAGACTAGAAAAGGGAATGAGGTTTGCTTTTGGACTTGTTAAACTTGAAATATCTATTAGCTGTTGTGCAAAAAGAATTAAAATAACAGACCTGACTATGGACTTTGGAAAGCCTGTTTGCAGGAGTGATCTTTAGCTGGCAACTGGAACTTAAGTTTCAGGAGGGTACCCACTACTCTAACTCATAAGAGTGGCTCAATATGTCCAAACTCTTTATACACTCAATAGTTCATGCTGATATCTGTTTTCCTTTGGGCAGTCTGGCAATTTGGTGTGTATTAAGAAGAGGGTGCCTCCTTGACTTGTCCCAATAAAAACCCTGCATGCTGAGTTTCTAATGAGTTGGGAAAATTAAGCATGCTCTGTGTGACTACACAAGGAGAGAATTTTTGGAAGCTTGTGCCTGTTTGCTCCCAGACTTCACCCCATGTACCTTTTCTTTTTGCTAATTTTGCTTTTATCTTTTCACCATAATAAATCATAGCCATGAGTATGACTATATGCAGAGTCCTGTAAGTCTTTTAAATAAGTCATTGAGCTGGGAGTGGTCTTGAGGATTCTTGACACAAAGGTTAAGTAAGCAATTATCTATATTAGTCTGGAGTTAGGAAAGATAATGACTGGAGTGGAAATTGGGATTGTTCTAAATTGGATTGCCTATGTCGAACCATTATTCTAGATGAGACTGCCATAGCATAAGTGAAGAAAAGTAAAGATGCCCACAGACAAAATCATCAACTATTCCAATGTGTAGAGTAGGTGACAGTGGAAAAAATTATCAAATGATGTTAAAAAGAAGTGTCTAGTGCAGAAATAAAAGAATCAGAAGAAGCCGGGCTCGGTGGCTCAACCTGTAATCCCGCGCCTTGGGAGGCTGAGGTGAATGGATTGCCTGAGCCCGTGGGTTCGAGACCCACCTGGGCAATGTGGTGAGACCTCATCTCTACAATAAATCAAAAATTAGCCGGGCGTGGTATCGCACGCCTATAGTTCCAGCTATTTGGAAGGCTGAGGCGGAAGGATCACTGGAGCCCAGCAGGTCGAGGCTGTGGTGGCCGGGAGCAGCCACTGCACTCCAGTCTGGGCAACAGAGTGAGACTCCAACTCAAAAAAAAAAAAAAAGATCAAGAGAGAATGATGTCAGGAAATTTAAGGCAAGAAGGTGTTTATTGCTGCCAGAAAACTACTTCTGCCATTTTTCGCCCCAAATTCTTTGCTTGACTCCCTTGACTATAGCAGTATAAGCCAAATGTCTCTGGATTAAACCTCCCACAGACAAGATGACAGACTTCTCTTTGCTTCTGACCCCTCCCTTCAGTGTATCCCAGGAATCACCACAGGGTTATGACGACATATTGTCATGGAATGTGACCAGAAGTTGATCAGAGGCATTGACCAGCATTTTCTTTCTCTCCTTCCCTATTCTGGTTACCTAAGGCTGCAGAATTAACCACATCAAAATGTAGTGGCAAAAACAACAATTGTATTATTGAACTTTAGATAGGAATTGCTTTTCTTTGTTCCACAATGATTGGGACCCTAGCTGAGTGGCTTGAACAAATGGAGACATATGGCCAATGCTTTGGTTCTGGCTGTTGGTTGGATTACCTTGGTTCTTCTCTCTGTGTGCTAGTGCTGAAATGTCCAAGATGGCTTTTTTAACTTATGTGCCTGATGCCTGGGCCAAATTGTGAGCTTGCTTGTTCGTTCTCAATTTCTCTCTCTCTCTCTCTCTCTCTCTCTCTCTCTCTCCCCTCCCCCACACCCTGTTCAAGTTATTACCTTGGCCACAGAGATTTTAAAGTAGTTAAACTTCTTACATGGATTTCCTCAGAATAGACATTCCAAGAAGCTCAGACACCTAGGCTTTTATCACCTAGGCTTAGAAATACTAAAATGTCACTTTTGCCACATTATTTTGGCCAAGAAAGTCTCTAAGTCATCTCAAAGGAATTAGGAAAGTAAGCCTCTGCTTCCCAATGGGATAAGTAGCAAGAAATTCCTAGCCATTTACAGCAATGCTCTGATTTCCATTCATGACTACCGCTCAAGAAACTCTAAAGAGAATCTCACTGCAGTCACTGTTTTCCTAAAATAGCAATAAATCATAGCAATTCAGTGTCTCTGTGTTATCCAAAAAAATTGTACTATATGGGATACCAAAGAATGTTTGTGGGATAGAGAATGGTGTCTCTAATTTGAGACATACTTTTGCAACACACTGGTTTATCATACTTGCAAAACAGGAATTTCAGTATTGTGCTGAAATGAGTCAGTTGATAAGTCTTTCTCTCTGCCCACATAGCAAGCCCTTCCAGGTTAAAAAGAAAAGAAAAGAATAGAAAACTTGTGTTATTCAATTATTGTGTCCTTGTCTCTTAGCACAAAGAGCATCGCATACAAGATTCAAATACATTTCCTGAATATAATACTGAATAAATAGGTTTATCTAAAGTTACACTTTTCCAAGGGAAAAGTACCTGATAACATTAAGATTTCCACATTGAGTAACAATTGAGTGATCAGAAAAGACTACATGAGTTCATGTGATTATAATTTTGGACTGGGGAGTTAATTTTAAGACACATGTATACACACAACCACACACACACACACACACATATATATACTTCTATCAATAAGGACATATTGCTAAAGATTATTTTCTTTAAGAATGAGAGCACCACATTGTCATACTATTATTACTCATATGTGTAATAGATCATATAAAAGTAACACTTTCATTAATTTACTAGTAGAATAATACTTTCATTATTTACTAGATGTTTCTCATTGATTTCTGTAATTACTTTTTTACCTCCTTTATGCATTTTAATTCAATAACAAACACAAAAATTAATGTTCATATTTTGATATCATGATTATGGTTTTAATAGTCTTTGTCATGCCTTAAGCACAGATTATTTTCAATATTTTCTGATTAATATGTGTAGAACCACTATAGCACCTGGTTATAGTCACTTAATTATTAGATTTGTTATGAGAAAAAAAGTCTTATTGTTAGATATATGCACAGAATAGAGAATAGTGTTCCTCTTTCAGGAAATTTAATTTCAAGACTAAGAAGGCATTTAACAAATTGTTTAATAATTTAATAACATAATTTGGTGTTTCAATGAATGAATCTGATAGAAATCAATTAAGAAATATAGAACTTTCTGCTGTTATTATGTATATGTGGGATGTGGAATAATTTAATGGCATTATTAAGAATATACAATGCTCCGAATAATTTTCAGCAACTAGAGGCTTTACTATTAGACAAAGAGGTATATATTTAATTCTAGAGTCAGATTTTAATAAAGTCAATCTTTTGAAGTACAATTTAAGCAACACAAATTGCTTTTAATTGTTCACCTATTAGCTGTACAAGCTGTCAATAAAATAAATCAAAACCTAAAAATGTATGTTTTACTTACCACTTAAAAATTTAAACACATATAAAGAATGAGTTTTTAAATTCTTTAGTCTTTGAGAAAAATTGAAGTATTCATATTTAATTGCATATGGTTTCCTTCTGGCTCTAATAACCTATAGATTCACTATGGCTATTTAAAATGACATAGAAAATTTTCACGTCTCCAGAGTTCACAAAGCAATAGGTCCCTTTACAAAACCTCTAGTATTACACCTTTACTTATGAAATAGAAGAGACTATTCAATAAACTAAGAACTGTATGCCTGCAAAATAAATAGTATATCAATTTATAGTATCTCAGAGTATATGCCAAAAGTGTTTTCACCATTTTGTAGAGCATATCGTCTTTTAAAATTATTTCTATTTTTAGTCACATATATGCAGTTTAAAGCAGGGTTAGAGTGCATATCAAATGTTATTAACAACGAATGTCAGACACTCTGAGATTTAATCGATGTTTATACACGAGGGACAATAACCACCCAAGATAACTATGACTAGATTATTCTTCTGTACATCAGCATTGACTCTAATCATCATGACAATGCTGTCACAAACTTTTGTGTTTTTTTTTTGAGTTGGAGTCTCACTCTGTCACCTAGGCTGGAGTGCAGTGGCCACTCCCGGCCACTGCAGCCTCGACCTGCTGGGCTCCGGCGATCCTTTCACCTCAGCCTTCCAAGTAGCTGGAACTAATTTTTGATTTATTATAGAGATGAGGTCTCGCCAAGTTGCCCAGACGGGTCTCGAGCCCACGGGCTCAGGCAATCCACTCACCTCGACTTCCCAAAGCGCTGGGATTACAGACTGAGCCACTGAGCCCGGCGACAAACTTAAGAGGAAATAAGGAAAGGCAGAGAAGAGAAACTGGTTATGGATAAAAGTAACAATAAAAGGTGAAATATAAATCAAGCCTTTAAAAAAAACTGCCTCTGTATACTATCATAAGAGATTCCCCTAGTTAAGTTATGGGTTAAATATATATATATAAAACAATTATTTTTTAAAAAGCATAATTTTGGAAAGAAAAATTTAAATGTATCTATGTCTCAGCTTTTCTGATAAAGTCAGGAAAAAGTTAATTATTTTATGAGATTAACATGTGACAATCAGAAAATAACTTCTTACAAACCTGTGAAACAAACGAGTGATTTTATTTACTTTATTATCTAATACTTGAGTTTATCTTCAAAAGGGGGGGAAATGCCAAATTGAGCAAGTAGAGGAAAAGATGTGTGTAAACATTTTGACAGTACTCAACTTTCATAGCATTTTACTACTTCACATGTTTAACATTTCTTCCCCTTTCTCAATTTTTGTGACATTCAGGCAAATAATCATTTTCTGTGAACAAAGCTCATATTTTGGCTGGCGTGGCTATGGTTATGCAATGGCACTTTTTGTTGTAGTCTTTTTGCAAACCCTGATCTTTCAACAATATCAACGTTTTAAGATGCTCACCTCAGCAAAAATTAAAACAGCTGTAATTGGACTGATCTACAAAAAGGTAAAAAAAAATTATGAAATTCTCAGTTTGCGAGTAGACGATTCCCTTATATGCTTTAAAATAAAGGAACGAGATCAATAGAAGAATATATTAAAAATTATTTGGGTGTCCTTTGAATATAATTTATTTTGCTTTAAGAGAACGTTGACTCATCAATGTTAATTGCATTAATTTCCCTATAGAGCTCTCTCTTTCTAAAACTTCTAGCCAGCCCTAATTAATGAAACTAAATAATGATCTTTTTCTTCTCACACGTTACTCAACTCCTTCCCAGAAAGTGATTGGAACTGAATGTTTTCACGATTATCTATATTTATGCACCAATAAATATTCTTCTTTTCACAATCACTTTTATTTTACACAATACTGTTTTATTCCCCTCTGCTTACTTTTTTTCATGCAACAAAGTCATTCTTTTTTGTACAGTCATTGTATTCTGCTCTTTCATTGTAAGATTTGACTACCCTGCCAAGCATGACTGATCCTTATTCTCGGCATAAACCTAAGGTTTAATTTGTCTTTACCATGTAGAGTCTTTTGTTTGCAACATAATTGTAAACAATTAAAGGTTTCTTCCTTTTTCTAGTTATCAATCAGTTATTCAACCAGCAGGTATGCTTTATTCTTACTTTATGTTCCCCTGTAAATTGTGGGCTATTCAAGATTTGTAATACAATTTTATTTTTCTATTGTATCCTTATAATCCAAGACAATGACTTTTATACACTTTTATAAAAGTTAGATGACTGCATAAATTAATGAATAAATAAGTGAAAGAACAAATGAGTCCCTGCCTTAAATAAATTAGGGAGAAGTGTTAGCATACATAATAAATGCATGCAACTAAGTGCAAATTTTATAAGAGATGAGATGAACAGGGTATCTACAAGGGTTGTGTATATTTAGGGAAGTTTTCACACAGAAAGGAAGTTCCGAAAATATATTTCAAAGAGCTATGGAATTTGTATAAGTGGAAGGAAGTATTATAATTTGGGCTGAGCTGAACAAGAAGCATTATAGGTCATTTTGCCCTGATGGCCTAAAATGGGGACATGATGTGGCTTTAAAGATCTTGAAATGACCAAGGATCAATTGAGCCCACAAATAGTTACTGAACTGTCAGTAGAGTTCAGCCCAAATACAGGGTCAGAGAGGCTGTCTAGCCCTTAATTCTGAAGACAATATATGCTGTTTCAAATATGGAGGAAAGATATGAAAGAATCTAGGAATCTTGTTTTTGATATATAGTTCATATAAAACAGAATTTTTATTGGCATTTCGACACGGGATATGGGTTGTTTTGCAAGTATTAAAGAGAAACTGCCATAAAAAGGTAAATGCATAAAAGGGTGGACTTAGAAGCATAAAAGGTGGAGTCCAGAGATTATTTAGGGCAATAAACTACTCTGTATGATACTATAATGGTAAGTACATGTCATTACATACTTATCCAAACCTATAGACTGTATACCATGAAGAATGAACCTTAATGTAAACTGTGGACTTTGAGTGATAACATGTCAATGTAGGTTATCAGTTGTAACAAATGTGTCACTCTGTGAGAGATATTGATGAGGGAGGCTATGCATGAGTGGGGTTCAGGATAGATGGGAACTCTCTGTACCTTCCTCTCAGTTTTGCTGTGAGCCTAAAACTGGTCTTAAAAAATAGTCTTTTGGGGGAGCAGAAAGGTGTGATACCTTTCCTCAGCCACCAAAGTTTTACATGACAAAGGAGCCTTTAGAAATAAAGACCTAATGGCCCAGGGGTAGCTGTCTATTTTTATGTTCGGGGTGGATGACCAGACAACAGTGTAGAAATGTGATTGGACAAAAGGATATGATCTAACAGTCAATGGCTGAAACAGGCCTGTCTGTTCAGATTATTCTTGAGCTTTCTGTGTAGCATTTCTTTTTCCAAGGTATGGGGCAGGACCCCTCTGGAATGAGATCTTCAAGGGAGAAAGAAAAGAAAGGGATTGATCTTTCTGGGTTAAATGACTGGTTTGGGAAGAGAGGGGCTCTAGTTTCTGTGACTTACTTTCAGGAAAAAGAATTCTGGTTTCTATGACTCACTTCAGGGAAAGAGGGATGAGAGACAGAAGGACAGGAGAGGGTCTGAGAAACTTTGTTTCTGAGTCCCTTCCAATGTCCTTCAGTTCAAATTACTTAGCATGCCAAGGTGCCATAATTTGGGGTATCATGTTCTAAGCCCCAACAGTTAAAAAAATTTATTTTTTAAAAGAATGAACTTCAGTAGAATTAGAGCAAACTGTCAGACAGAAAGAGTCAAATCAAGTGTCTTGGGTGAGTCTGTTGAAAGAGCTAAGATACTCCAGATTATATAAGTGGGAACAGTGACTGCAGGGGAGACATCTTGTAGTTTCTCAGAGAGTGTTAAACTACAAAGGGCACTGAAGGAATGAAGGGGCGCAGCAGTCAAGCCTATCCAGTAGACCCTGTAGTAGGCATTTCGATTTGATGGGGGTCTCTCTCCATGGGGTTAATTGTGGTTGTTAAATTTTTCTTCTCCTTTACAAGTTATAGGATTCCAAGTTGTGTCACATTTCAATACCTTCAAGGACACCGCCAGATGGCTCCTATTTATCTGAAATTGGTCCTACTTCATCAGGGACTTATTACTAAAAAGGGTGAAACTGGTCTCAGGCCTTTTTCTTGGTGAGGAGTGGAGGTACCAGGATGTGCTTTGTTTGGTGTCCGTCCACATTACTACTGTTAGTTTGAAATAAAGTTCAAGGAATTTTTAGGTTTACGGGTAAGAACATGGGCCTCCTTCCACTTGACCACTTTGAATCTATGGATCTCAAAACTTAGGTTTTGTTATTCCTTAGTTCACAGGTGCAGCCTCCATGAAAATTCTCAGAAACTAAAAAAAAAAAACAAGACATGACACGAGGAAAATGTGTCTAGTGCAACAAAGGAAGTGCATTTTTAACTTTAATTAATATGCATTTAATAATCACATCTGGCTAGTGGCTATCATATTGAATAGTACAGTGTCTAGACTGTCTCCATTTGTAGCTTAAAATGTTTATTTTGTTTTAATTGTAGTAACTATAAAATACAAAGAAAACAGATAAAAATTAGTTATATTCTTTAAAGTAGAGATACTTAAGTGTGTTCAGGAGGAGGAGAAGCAGAATCCAAACCCTGCACTTCAAGTCAGAAAGTGAATCCTGACATATTTTTTTGGCATACAGAGGAATTGAAGAATGCATTCTTACGTACATATTGTAGTCTCACTTTCATCTACCCTATCTCATACTTCTGGTTGAGGGTCTTTAGGATAGGAATTTTTAGGGCCCTTCCAGCTTTGCATTAAATTATGTGTATAACTTCCAGCTAGTATAGTTAGAAACAGTTTTTTCATGATTAATATTGCATAATGTGAGTCTTAAGGAAGAATTTCATGAGGCAACATCTATGCTGTTGGAATAACATGGAGAAAAAATGTACAGAAATTATTGCAAGGTCTGCTCAGAAAATGATGAGTAGATTGACTTTGATAGAGGCAATGTTAAATGTACATGATTGTGGGTAGAGATGGTAAAGACAGAGGGATTGATGTTTTAAAATATTTTTTAAAAAAAGAATACAGAAATTCATATGGAAATATAAACAACCACAAATAGCCAAAACAATCCTTAGCAAAAGAAACAAAGCAGGAGGTATCACACTTCCAGACTTCAAACTTTACCATAAGGCTACAGTACTCAAAACAGCCAGGTATTGGGACAAGAACAGGTATATAGACCAATGGAACAAGACAGAGATTCTGGAAGCAAATCTCAATTTCTCAACCACCTTATCTTTGACAAAGCCTCCAACAACAACCACTGGGGAGGAGAGAATCTATTCAGTAAATGGTGCTGGGAAAACTGACTGATCACATGCAGAAGATTGAAACAGGATCCCTACCTATCACCATACACAAAAATTAACTCTAAGTGGATTAAAGACCTAATGCAAAGCCTCAAACTATAGCAATCTATAGAAAATGCAGGTGACACCTTTATGGAAATTGGAACTTGCAACTAATTCCTGATCAAAATCCTAAGTGCCCATATCATAAGAAATAAGATAGACAAATGGGACTTCATCCAACTGATGAGCCTCTGCAAAGCAAAAGAAACCATCAAGATAGCAGGGAGACAGCCCACAGAATGGGAAAAAATATTTGCCTGTATATCTGACAAAGGCCTAACATTTAGGATCTACAAGGAACTCAAATGCACCAAAAAGAAAAAAAACAGCCCCATTAAAAAGTGGGCAAAAAACGTGAATAGACACTTCTCAAAAGAAGATATACAGGCAGTCAACAGACACATGAAAAAATGCTCAGCCTCACTGATCATCAGAGAAATGCAAACCAAAACCTCATTGAGGTACCACTTAACCCCAGTAAGAATGGCCACCATTAATAAAACAAACAACAACAGATGCTGGCGAAGATGCAGACAAAAAGGAAAGCTTCTATACTGCTGATGGAAATGCAAACTAGTGCAACCTCTTTGGAAGACAATGTGGTGATTTCTGAAAGAACTGGAAATTGATCTTCCATGTAACCCAGCAATTCCCCTATTGGGAATATACCCAGAGGAACTCAAGTCATTCTACAAAAAAGATACCTGCACACGCATGTTTGTTGCAGCTCTCTTCACAATAGTAAAAACATGGAACCAACCATGCTGTCCATTGAAGCCAGACTGGATTAAAAAAAAATTTACTACATATGCACAATGGAATATTATGCAGTCATAAAGAAGGACAAACATATGGACTTAGCAGCAACTTGGATGGATTTATAGTCTATCATACTCAGTGATCTATCACAGAAACAAAGAACAGAGTACCATATGTTCTCACTCATAAGCAGACCTTGAACAATTATCATACTATAAGAAAGTGATTGGCAGTAGTGGGAGAGAAACTGCCAAGGGAGGGTGTTGGGATTGGCAGTTGAGGTAAACTGCTAGAGGA